AAAAAAAAAAAAAAAAAAAAAAAAAAAAAAAAAAAGAAGAATAAAAAAAACAGCGAGGAAACATCAAAATACTAAGCATCTCGATACTAAGCATCCTTATGTTGAGATGCAGAACATCAAAATGCAGGGGAGAACAACTTTAAAGTATTTTTAGTTTCGTAATTGTGAGTGGAACATTACAAAAGAGGTTGAAAGTACTTCCAGTTATGGCAAGTAGAATAGTATATGATGCAGCATGTCTCGAAAACGCAACAGGAAAGGGTATTTTCAAGTTAAACTAAGCAGGGAACTTAAAAGGACAAAATAGCTGTAAAAGGACTGACCAAATCCTGACAATGCCGAAAATCAGCTTCCAAAAGTTTTAAGCAAATGGCTCCCAATGAAACATACACGAGTGGAAAGATACTTATAAAACTTACTCTGCAACTATCATCAACTTCCACACATGACTACTGATCAAAACACATGACTTCTGGACAGTAGGTTATGTTTTTGTAATGCTAATATCAAGGTACTTAAAATAGTGTACTGGCTCTCATGGAGAATGAGGTCTATCAAAACCACTGTTCTAAAAATCGGCCTAGGCGGTGCCCGGCGCCACCAATTTTCACAAATCAGCAAAAAAACTCGGTCAGGCAGCTAGGCGGGCTCAGCGGCCAAACTGTTAGGCGGTGCCTATGCAGGCATAAGCGGATCTAGGCGCTCCTAGGAGAGCTCGGTGGCAATTTTTCAATTTCTTTTTTTATTTTTTAAATACTAATTACATTATTTTATTTTCATGTTTGCTTTAAAATATATTAATATTATTATTTGATCTTAGATAAATAGCTTTATTTTGTAGGTAGTTAAAATAAATAAAAAATAATATATTTAATTTGATTTCTAGGCCCCGACTAAGTGTCGTCTAGGTCCCGCCTAGACGCTCTAGGCGCTGGTCGAGTGTTTTACGAGCGCCTAGCAACTTTTTAGAACAGTGACCAAAACTAATGTTTTCATATCAATAATGCCAGAATACTAAGTAACTCTTTCGGGGACCGAGAGTATCACATATTTGGTTCGCATAGCTAATTCAACTATTATAATACGCCACATAGCTAATAATGTTAGCATAAACGCATATATGACTAATCAAAGTGCAAAAAATCACACCACTCGGAAAAAAAAGGGTGTCCCGAAAACTCTCTCCTCAAAAATCCCCAAATCTAACCTAGCCCCCGCCGTCTCCAGCGTGCTTCTCCCCTCCGGAGGCCCTTGGCCTCGCAATTCCGGCGGACATCTGACTCGCCTCGGGCTTGCTGGTCCTGCGGCGTTGGCAGCTTCGCGTCGATTCTTCCCAGAAATGGTCCCGCTCCCCGAAGCGCCAGGACGGAAGTAATTGAGGTGGGTTGCGGTCGGTGTCAGGTCTGGCGGCCACCGTTGAAGTCCTTGTGGAAGTCTTCGGTGGAGGTCAAGCTTTGGTTCCCCCCTTACCCGGCTTTTCTTGGTGTTGGTCAGGCCGGGTCCTCCGGCGGCAGCGGCGAGATTTGGAAGGCTGCGGAGTGTGCTTGGGGGGGGGGCTGCTGTGGTGGTACCAGCATCAGGATTATGCGGTTTCGGATTGAGACTTCTGGGCTTTGGGTCTGGCCGTGGTTTGCCCGTGTGAGTGTATTCGGGCTTGCCGGGTAGGATTGAAGATTTGGAGGTCGCTTTTTGTTTGTCTGCTAGTTGGGATGTTCGTTAGGTGTTGTTGGGCGTTGGATTCGTATTCCGGCAGGGGAG